ATTACATAATGCTGCAAATGAGGAAAGTGTTTTGAAAAACTGATTTATACAGATACCAAGTTTCTGACGTAAATAAAGACGCTACAGCTTTTTCTTAATATTTGCATTATTCTTTTTCCAAGCATAATATAAATATTAGCATAATTTATATAACTACGTATTAATAAATAAAAAAGTTGGATTAAAACCCAATTTTTAGTAATTTTTGTGCTTAATCAATATGATGTTCCAAGAAATGTTTTTATCAAGATAAACACCTAAAAGTTTTGAAACAAAGTCTTTTTTTATTTCCTTTTAATCGTAAAGATTTGAGATAATTTTGATGGCAGAAATCACTTTTATGTTATCAAATGGAATAAAACCCATTTTCTTTTATTAGTATTTAAGGTTAACTTATTTCTCTCGGACAAATATGTCTGAGTTCTTCGTTCACTGTTTTAAAAAGTTCAGCGATATCATAGTTAAAAAGAAATAAGTTTGTATCATCTGCATACATAATGCTCGTTAGTTTTGAGGCTTTATTTAAGTCATTTATATAAATTAAAAAAAGGAGTCCAATAATTAAAACTTATGGGACGTCACAGGTTATATTAAGAAAAATGGTTTAATAATCATTGTTAAATGGTACAAGTTATTTTCGGTTAAAATTTTATTTTTTATTCGAGTTTATAAACGAAAATACAGTGATCGATCGTATCAAAAGCTTTTGATAAATCAATAAAAATTCCTTGCGTATATTGTGATTACTCGATTGAATTTTAGATTTCACCTACAAAATGGATAATTATTAGTAATGTTCAGTTGAGTTACCTTTTCTGAAACCAAAATGATTCATGTAAAGTATTATTATCATATGAGTATTTGTATATTCTGTTGAACATAATTTTTTCTAGAGTTTTCGAAAATGTGGAAAGAACAGGGATGGGACGTCACTAATTTGAATAATTAATATGAATGATTTTTGCAATTTTTCATTGTAAAATTTCATCCTTGACGAATAGAAGCTCTAAAGATTTTTAAACATCCTTGACGAAGCTCTAAAGAAGAAGAACATCTTTTAATTGACGAATAGAAGCTCTAAAGAAGAACATCTTTTAATTGTTCAAAGCAAGCTATAACCACTTTCCATTAATTTGATTTGCTCTAATTGCTTTTTTTTTTTTTTTAATAATTTCTTTTATTGTTAGCCTTTTTTTTTTTTTTCAATAACTTCTTTCATTATTTTCCACGTGCGTTTTGAATTCTTTTTTGTCAATAAGGGGTCGTCCATAAAGTGCCTATGCCAAAAATTCTGAAATTTGACACCCCTCCCCCGTTGCCATTCGTACTTTTAAGTCCCCACCCCCCTTAAACCTCCTCCACCTTTTTTATTTCAATAAATTTTTGTATTAAAAAAAATATATATATATAGGCGGGGGATGAAAAACGTATAAAGTATTTATACGACCCCAGAACCCTTTGTTAGCGGCAAAGGATTCCAATTAAAAAACCATCATTAAATATATACAAATATGAATTTAAATATAATTAAATCTTGCAATATTGAAGAGATTGCTTGGCTGAGTTGATAATGTTATGGGCAGTGACAGTGGAGATCCGAGTTTAATTGCCAGTAAAGTCCTATTTCATTTTTTCTGTTTTCCTGCAACTTTTTTGGTATTAATAGTTCTTTCTGGGTTTGTTATATTAAGTTTCAGGAGTAGAGATAAATGATCTGATCTATTAGTTAAACTTTTGTATATTATTATTAAAAATACCAGTAGTTAAAAATACCAGTAATATCATGTTGAGTTGCTGTGCTTATTTTTACTCTTGTGGGTCGATTTATTAAAGTAACAAATTGAATTGACGCTGTTTCAAAAATTGCATCATACAAATTCTTAATTTTATGGCCACCATTACAAAAAAGAAAAAAAAAATTAAAAAAAAATTTTAGTAACTAAACAATAAATCTAATCAGTAAAAAAAGTAAAATTTTTACAAAGAAAGAAATTTAAATTAACGAAAAAAGAAATAATAATAGTTAAGTGCATATAAATTTAAAAAAATTTTGTAGCTAGTCTTTGTTGTAATTATCATTTTTTTAATTTAATTTTAATTATGAAAAATAATTAATGATACCATTAATTATATTTATTAAATATTATATTTGTTAAATATTATCATTTTGTGTGTGCATTTTCAAGTTTTTTGTGTTTCTCTTTTCGCTTGCGTAAAGTTTGTTATTATTTGTGCTAATTATTTTTATTGTTGATTCCTGTTTTTCAATTTTACCAAATTTTCTACACCTTTTTTCTTTTCTTTATTTCTCAAAAATAACTAAAGTTTGTTCTTATTTAAAAATTTTTTTTTTTTTTTTTTGTACAAGTATTTGTGTTTGCCTTTTCGTTTTGTTGTTTTTTCGTTTCATCTTGTTGTTTTTGTGTTTTGCCTTTTCGTTTGTGTAAGATTTGTTTTTTATTTGTTCTGTTTTGCTTATTATTTTTATTTTTGTTTGCTGTTGTTATTGAGTGTTTACATATTTTTTTGTCTTATTATTTAACTTATCGTTGTTTATCGTTATCGTTGTTTATCGTATCGCTTTATCGTTATTATTATTATTTTATTAATTTTCGTTTCATATTTATTATTTTTATAACTATTTTATTATTATACTAATTGTTATATTTAATTGGTGTCACTCATTTTGATTATGAATGACACTCATGTCATCATATTATTTGTATTATTATAGATAATATTATTATTTTTTAATTATTGTTATAATTATTTGGTGTCACTCATTTGATCAGGTTGCTGTTACCTTCCTTTCGTTGTGAGACCTTCCTTTTCAAATAACTATTTATATTTATTCTTATTAGTTATATTTTATCATAATTATGTTGTTTCTATTATTATAGATAATATTATTATTATTATTGTTATTATATGATTATATGTAAATTTTGAAAAAGGAATATAAATATCTTGTTGTTGTTGTTATTACAGAGAAAATAGTTTGTATTTGATATAATATCAATAATAATAATAATATTATCTATAATAATAGAAACAATATAATTATAATAAAATATAACTAAAAAGACTAAATATAAATAGTTATTTGAAAAGGAAGGTCTCACTCAAACAGAAGCCTGATCAAATGAGTGACACCGGATAGTTATAACAATAATTAAAAAATAATAATATTATCTATAATGATACAAATAATATAATTATATTAAAATATAACTAATAAGAATAAATATAAATAATTATTTAAAAAGGAAGCTGTCACTCAAACAGAAGCCTGATAAAGGAGTGACACCAAATAATTATAACAATAATTAAAAAATAATAGTTCCAAAAGGCTTTGGTCATCTGACCAAATGTTTCTCATGATTTAAAAAATACGCTCTACAGGTGCGTTCCAGATGTTCTAGCGGACACATGTTGTGTCTACTGGAACATCTGCACAAAATGTATTCAATAAATTTTACCAGTTTAGGTACATCAAAGTCTTTTTATAAAAAATTTATTGAATTATTGTCAAAACGGCGACTTGGATTTTCAATTAATATCACTCTTCCTTTTTTTGATACAAAAAATGTTTTTGCACTTGACATCTCATTAAAAAAGCTGTCAATATTAATTTTTTGTTGATCATCTGAACGATGTTTAAAGCTTCAGCAGTTTAATGTCCTCCAACTCCAGTATGTGATTCAATCCATTCAAATATCTCAGAACCACCAAAACTGTTTTTGTCCTGGGTATTAAATTTTCTTAGCAACTGTTTTGCTTCTTGTGGAACAAAGTTACTATTCATCTTTTCCTCAAGATAAGATTTTAATTTTTTTTAAGTTCCAGGAGCTCAAAATTTTTCCATAACTAATACAGTTTTGGTAAAATTATTTAGCTGTTCATGCACAAACCAGATATATAACTCACTTGTTTCACTTTAAAAAAATGCTTGCTAAGCATATGGGCAGTTTTCTTGAAAAACAAATTATGACTTCAGTGCCTCTAACATATATTTTGAAACGTTTCCAAGCAAAACTCGCCATTTTGAAGGTTTATCACGGTAATATTTTGTTATTATAAAATATATATTTTAGGATTTAAATTACAATATCCGGACTAATAATCGGCTGGATATCTGGTCGGATAAAATAAAAACCGTGATAAACTTTCAAAATGGCAAATTTTGTTTAGGAAATTTTTTTAAATTAATTATAGCTGTGATTCTACACAATATTCATTCCATGTGTAAAGAAGATAATCATGGGGTGTTTTAAATATGCGGGTATTCGATATACGGTCAGATATCGAAAACATTCCTGGATATTTAAAACATCCCCGAATCCCCGATGTTTTAAATATTCGGGGATATTTAAGACATCCCTAAATATTTAAAACATCGTCGAATACACTGGGATATTAGGTATATACCGGGATATTAGGTATGGACCGAGATATTAGGTATACACCAGGATATTAGGTATACACCGGGACATTAGGTATACACCGGTATAGCTGTTTGACTATAGTTTTGATCAGAAATTGATCTTGTTTTCTGATTCTGACTTTTCCAAGGAAACTTTTTACATTTAAGATAAGTACTAAATACTTCAGAATTAATTTGAATTGTGAGGTCTTGGTGTTTTGGTATTAGTTTAAACTTATCATAATTGTAAAATAAATATTTACAATAAATACTCTTTGATAATTTAGAGCTAATTAAAGTTAAATAAAATTAATACATACAATTTAAAAAAATAAAAAGTTAAATGTTTTAATGTTTAACACGTCTAACCATATACTCTAATCTTTTGAAGGAAATCACAACGATAAAGTTATTTTTTTTAAATGATTATGACAAATCGTAAGAAAATCTAATACAAAAAGTTTTAATCAAAGCTACGACAAAGGAGTGCTTAGTTTATCTGCGATTAAAAACAATAATGCTAATAATTAATGGAGCGTTGAACAATTCATTGAATAATAAAAACAAATGGTCTTTAATTTTTAGCATTTAAAATTGCTGAACAGGAAGTTTTCTTGCAAAATCCACACAAATAAATCGTAATGAAAAAAAGTTTTAATCATTTTGTCAATAGTTAAAAGTCAATCAACAAATATTAAAGTGTCAGAATGATTTGTTCAAGCCAATATTGTTTTACCGTAGGATTACTCTAAAATAAAAAAATAAAAATCATTAATATCATGTAAGTATATTTATATAATTATAAATAAATTTATAGCAAAAAAAATTTTAATTCCCGTTAGTTTCTACTATAATATTTTGTAATCTTAAATGTATCTTTTAGACTTTTTTTTTTTGTACTTTTAATTTGTTTGCGTAATTCTGTTATATTTCTAATGAAGGAATCAATTTTCTTATGTGAATTGAAAGATGAGTAAAACTTTTAGAGATCATGCTTTTATTTATTTTTTCTTCTATTAAATTATTCATTTATTATTTATTTCACTTTAAACAATGGTACTGCGAAAGTGGTCATGGATACTTTTGCCACGGTTTCCTAGTTACCATTATTAAATCAATCATCAGTCAACCGATTTTAAGAATATGTTTTTATGGTAGATATATTTAGCTATATTTAGTAAACTAATAAATTTTAATACAGAACGAAATACACAGTATTTTTATATTCCAATACACACTTTATCTCTAATAAATTTAGAGTGTTTATTAAAATAAAAATACAAAGATTTTCAAAATACCTTTTTTTTAAACATTTTCAGGAAATATTTACATGAATCTTTTTTAATTATAACATAAAACAAAAACAATCATTAGGACAATTTACTACTTCAATTTAACGGTAAAAATTTTCTCATGCTAATCATAACAGTACGATTATGTAACAATTTAATCAATAACAAAACATTTAATAAATAAATGCACACAGACAAGCACACACACTTTACCACAAAGTGAACATAGTAATGGTTCACATATACCTTCTTAACAATTTTTCTTTCAACCATTATTTTGTTTTTCGATGTAACCACCTCAGATTTCAGTAAGGAAAGGTTCTTACTCTGAGTTGGATATTGTAGGACAGTAATCTTAGTTTTTGAAATATATATAAAATTTTAATATACTACCAGCTGATGATGAAATTTAAAAAAATTTCCAAAAAGATATTTCAAATACAGTATCGTTTTTTATTTATTTTAATTATTGTTCCAAAAAAAAAAATATTCTAAAATTATAAGGAATAGATCAGCAAAAAATGGAAATTGCATTATTTGAAGGTCATAATGAAAGGTTCTTCTAAAAAACAGCTGAAAAATATGGAGTTTGTTCAAGTCACGTATAAACCATACTTGTGGAGCCGAGCCGGAGCCGAAGCCGGGGAGCCGCTGTTTTTTAGTGGAACCGGAGCCGGAGCAGCAAAAATCGAGCGGCTTTTGGCTCTCGTATATTTTTTTTTAAATTAATAAAATTTATGTTTTTTTTACTGTAGACAAACTTTGTTCATTTTATTGAGATCCTATATTTTTAAAATATATTTTTCTAACAGTTACGGTCATGCCAAAACGTAATAAAAATTGATATTTTAATAATTTTTTGCTCAACAAAATACTATCCTTTAATAGTATTTCTTAATATGCTTTATTAAAAAAAAAAGTAAATTATTTATGAAAACATTACAGTATTGCATAAATTGCTTTTTATTGCATTTTTATTCTGATATTATGATTTTAAATATTTGATGCGCGATTTAATGATCAAAGGTTATTCTTATCTTTTAAATTATACTAAAGTCATGCTTTAGTATAATTATACTAAAGTCATGCTTTAGATTATTAAATTTCGAACGATGAATTTTGTTTTAAAACTTGTCACTGACAATAACATACTAAATTTTATTTTCGGCGTAATTACAGTATTAATTAAAAACATCGACAAACGAGTCAAATTCTTTCTCTTACTTAAAATGTCATTGAAATATTTAAAAAAACGAAAAAAATTCTGCAGACCTATTTACAAAATCCTTTTGCACCGTTACTTTCAATCGCTAAAGGATTTTAATCTAGCAAAACTATTGTTTTATGGTCATAAAACAATACAAAAGCTCTCTATCTATCGAACGAGCAAATAGATCTGGAAGAAAGAGTGGTTTTAAGGATAAGAAATCAGCAATTAGTATTCAGCGATCATTCACGTAAAATCCCAGATTATCGAACAGAGAACAACCCAAAAGGTATAAAGTTTCAGAGTTTTTTAAAGATTAAATTTTGGCAAGCAATATGCAGCTGTGGTTTGAGATCTCGAGCTTTTGTCACATCGTCAACTTTAAACTCGGATATTTACGTCAAAGAATACTTGCAAGCTAAACTTTTGCAATTTTATCGTTTGTGCACGATGTCCCCTGCCTAATCTTGCTTCTTGTCGTTATTCTAAGAAGAGTAGTAGGGGAAAGCGGGGCAACATGGCGAATGGGGCAAGATGGGTTTTCATATAACAACTCAACAAAAAATTTTAAAATTGGGTGAAAACGAAACTGTATTTGCATCTTGTAGTTTAAAACACCAATTGGTTTTTTAAAATATTATTAACGCCATTTTATACAAATAAGTTTACTTTTTGCGCTTAAAATAAAATTCCTCACTTTCGGTTTCTCATAATGGATGGCGTCCTTCAAGTTTAATTTCTTTAGAAGTAGTTTTTGTAATTTGTGTTTATTTTTTGTTACTTTAATTAGAGTTATTGGCAGTTTTTAAAATTTTATAAAATTGGAGGTAAAAATTGCATAATAAGTCATCTTGCCCCGGTCACGTGACCAGATGACAAATTTGTGAACTTTTTATTTTAATATTTATTTCAAAATGTTATATTTGCAAACTGAAAATTCATGCAGGCAATGAAAGAACTTAATAGCATAAACATACTGAGAAAGTATTATGGCTTCACGACTTATAGTTTTTCAATAACTCAGGGCTTTCAAAACGTTTGCTATGTTGCCCCGCTTTCCCCTACAGTTCGAGAGACATCAAATTCATACCAAAAAGCTGAATCCATCAATCTTCACACAGTTCCATCCCATTGAAAAGTTTGGGTGATTTGGCAAAGGATATTTGCGTAAGACTGGCAAAACAATAAATACAGCTAAAGATTTAATTAGAGAGTGGACATTAGTAGGTAAAAAAATTGTTAAAGACATTGCGCAAAAGTTGATGTCGTCGATTAGCATAAATTTTGCTTATTTTTTTGAAATAATGAAAAATATTAAAATAAAAAGCACTTTTATCATCTTCAAGTTTTTTAGATTAAAACAAATATTGAAGTTTTTGTATTAGTTGAACAATTTTTCTTTTTTTTTTTTTTTTTGAATTTTTTTATTGTTTTGATTTTAACAATCACATGTTTCACCCAATGGGCACAGGACTTACAAAAGAGGTCTTTTAAACGTCTTTGAAGTGTTTTGAATGTCTTTTGAACGTTCAAAATACCTCTTTTTTAGGTCCCGTGCCCACTAGATACCCAGTGCGCGCGGGTAATTATTATATAGAAAAAAGTGTTTATTTACCCAAAACATTTTTCTTTTCAAATATAATATTCGGTAGTAGAGTAGTGATAGTAATACAATAACCTTATAATCATGAGAGTTGTTAAAAAATTAATTGCTGTAATTGTTATAATTTTGGGTTAGCAAGTGTGATCATGTTCAAGTTGGGTTAGCAAATCTGATTTGTTCAAGTTGATAAAGTTGAAGAAGCGAAGCCTAGCCGGGGGCCGAGCCGGAGCCGGAACCGAGCCGTAAAAAAAAACAGTCGGCTCCACAAGCCTGGTATAAATAATAAAAAGACTGACTAAGTTAACCAACCCTATGTTTTTCATGGAGAAATTGAGTAAAATATTGCAGATTGTAAAGCGTTTGCGGGGAGTTTATTATAATTCTTTTTGAAATTTAATTGATTGCTACGTTGCGTTTGGACAGAAGAGTTGTTGACATTTATTTAAAAATAATAATTAGTAGTTGACAAAAATGATGAATAAAATGCTATGCCAAAATGTGAATGTTGAGAAAAATTTGTAGAGCGCTCACTTCTTAAGCGAGAAGTTCCAAGTTCGATCCCCACTACATCCCTGGTAGTGCCGCGCTCAACTTGTATATTCGCACAGCGGCCTTGTTCGTCTAGGTTCGTGTTTCGAAGTTATAGAGTTAAGAGAGGGTTGTAACTACAATTAAAGTAGTCTCCTCAATTGTAGTAATCTTCATGGCTTTGGGGAGTTGAGTTCAAATTAAAAAAAATAATTAAATAAAATTTAATGGTAAGACAAAACTGAGTCGGGAATAAAAACAATTATAAGCAAGCGCGTAACCGCCACCTGGAACGAATAATAAAATAGTAGATAAACACTTTAGTTTTGTTTTCTGGTATGTTAGATGGAACTTTTTTCATATATAAAACTGAATACTTGTGCAGTTTTCTAATGGAAATTTGTTAAAGGAGTACAATGTACAACTAGAAAACTAGGTTTATTTTATTACAAGGAAATAATACAGTTACTAACTAACTAACGCTGCATTTTTTATGTTTTAAAATGTAAAATTGAAATATTGGTCATATAAAAGTCAAAAAACTGTGAAATCCTAAAGTCATTTTGCCAGTCTACTAAATAAATACTTATTTTCAACATTATATATGCTATAATACTATCATTAATGATAGTATTATAGAAAAAGCATTTTATAATGCGAAATTGCGAGGATCAGCACCACTAAAAAATGTAAAGAAAAATTATTTTAGTGACAACATTCTAACGCATTCTTAATTGTCAACCGTATGTTACTGAATTTGCAAAACCTTTGAGAAGTAAATGAGTTTAAAACATCTATAGGTAGAAACTAAAAAGTCAGCAAACAACAGCAAAATTGTAATTTATTAACTTAAATGTTTATCATGTAATAAACAAGTCGCATATCCTGTTAAAACTAACAACTTAAGATTACGCATAAACGGACGTATTTCTAGTTGCAGAAACGACCTTTCCACTGAAAGATCTGACAACCATGTTGATACCTGTCAACGTGCCCACATTTTTTTGTCTTCTATCAACTTAACAAAGAGAGTTCTTTATCATTGCACAATCAAAAGCATGAATCATTTAAGTAATATTTCCTGTACTTAATTAAAATTTATCAACTACAATAGTTACTCATAGTAACCATGTGTAATTTACATTTTTTTGTATATAGCAATTTTGCAACAATAACAAAAACTAGTGCTGATAAATTTAAACTAAACTTTTGTAAAAGTGCATTTTTTGAAATTGTTTTATATATAACATATATTAAGACATTAAAATGTATTGGAGTTTTGTTTTACTTTTTTTCACTATTTTTTCAATTTATATCTTTTACAACCATATTTCAAGTATACACACGCGCACACACATTTATATATACTTAATATATATATATATATATATATATATATATATATATATATATATATATATATATATATATATATATATTAACGGCAAAAATGTCTTCCGCTGCAGTGACAACAAGCAAAAAGTCTACTTGTCCTATCTTTGGTTCACCAGCAGACTTACGAGCAAATGTCTTGCCAACATACAAGCATGTCATGCTAAGTTATCTTTTGTCAATGCAGAAAATGAGAGTGGAAACTGGTGGAAAACAACCTTCTTTGAAAGAAATATCTGAAAATTTGGCAAAATAGAAAATTTGTGGGGAAAAGCATCGATACCTACTGTGTCTCATAAACGCATTGTAAAACGGTTTCTTGATTACAATCAAAAGTATAGAAATATTATGAAGTCGGTTAACAAAACGAAACGTACAGACAAATTGAAGTCGAAAATAATAACATTTCAAAAGCATGCAGAAAATACTTTATTTGACGTTGCAGCATGCAAATGCCTTGATTTTTCTAAATGCATCTGTGAAAAAGCAAAGAAGGTACCAGAGAAAGAACATGAGTTTCTTAGCGATCAGAGGTTTATGAGGATTATGTATATGGAAGGACTCGGTATTCAAGCTACTTTAAGATTACGGCGAAAAGAAGCAAGTAAAAACAGAGTAAATAGCCCTTTGCCGTCTAACCCATCAAATCAGCCTTGTGCTATTACAGGTATTGAAGCTCAATCAACATTATCAAGTCGCATTCATAATTCAAGTTTCTATTCTATATCTCAAGATTCTGACTCTGATGACACTGTGATTTGGAATACTGACTCAGACTCAGATGCTGATTATTTAGACAACGCTGAAGGCCACAAACAAAAAAGAAACAGAAAAGATAAAACTGAACAAATGATATCATCGTTACTATCCTTAGCACAAGCCTGCGATAGAGCTGGTGTTTCAAGCAGACGTGCTGTATTTATAGCATGTGCTGTGCTGGAAGACAAACATAATTTCAAAAGGAGACCAATCTAAAGTAATTGCTAAAAATAAGATTCAAAGAGAACGAAAGAAAAACAGACTTAAAATGCAACGTTTAGATTATGAAAATATTCAAATGTTAGAAGGTTTATATTTTGATGGAAGAAAAGATACAACATTTGTTATTGATACAAACAAGGGAAAAAATATACGAAAAAACTATCAAAGAAGAACATGTAGTTTTAGTACAAGAACCAGGGTCAAAGTATCTAGGGCATGTAGAGATTGCATCAGGACATGGATACAGCATTAAGACAAGTATAAAATCATTTTTATCTCAGAACAACATTGATACATCCAAATTAGTTGCCATGGGTTGTAACGGAACAGTTGCCAATACCGGATTTCGTAATGGTGTTATTGCTTTGTTCGAAATAGAACTCAAAAGACCTGTCCACTGGTTTATTTGTCAAATACATACTAATGAACTGCCTCTACGGCATCTAATTCAAAACTTAGATGGTCCTACATCAGGACCTAACGGGTGGTCTGGACCGATCGGAAGAGAAATTAAATTGTGTGATACCTTGCCAATTGTCAACTACATTCCTGTCAGTGTCACATTGCCAAAAATAGATAAAAAATCTCTTTGTTTTGATCAAAAATACTTACTTGATATTTGCAAACCTATATCTACAGGTTATTGTCCAAACGCTTTGGCTAATCGAAATCCTGGAAAACTTAACCATGCCAGGCGGGTGACCACTGCAAACAGAATATTGAGGTATTATGTTGGATGTAGCGAACCGTAAAAGAAATAGTTGAGTTTGTTATTAGAGTTTACTGCCAAATAAATAAAGGTTCAATATAAGATATGATGCCTCATGCACGGAAGGTGCTAGACATTTATGGCTAACCATCAATTTATCCAGGTATGCCAGTATATCATCGATCCAGTTATACAAAGGAATGCTTTTTTTGCACATCCAGAAAATATGCTTCTGGCTATGATATCGGTTACTTCTCCAAATGTGAGAAAATTTGCATTAAAACAAAAAATGAAAGCAAGTTCAATCCAAACAAACAAAGTTCGAAAATTCTCTATGCCAGAAATCAATTTTTAAGCAACAGACTATATAGACCTTACTGATTGGATTAAATGTGAACTAAGTGAACCTCCGATTACCACTCACATTTCAGATAAAAATCTAATTGAAATGTTAACAAATGGTAATCTTCCAGATGTGCAGCATTTTCCATGCCATACTCAAGGAGTAGAGAGATGCATCAAACTTCTAACTGAGGCTTCAGATCAAGTTTGCGGTTTCATTAGTAGAGACGGCTTCATTCGTGCAAGACTTGCATCGCGAAAAAAAATGCCTACATTCAACACAAAAAGACAGTTTGAGACAAAGACAAATGAATCGGATAGTTGAACTTTATTACAGCTCAACTTTAAACATTTTTCAAAAACATTTTCCACTTTATTAAAACTTTAATTGTACATTATGGGCTGCTAAGCTTGTTTTCCAGAAACTAATGAAACAGTGTTTTTTGGTCAAAACTCAGCACACTAGCGTCAACTGAAGACATTAAAATATTTTCTTAAAAATTGTAACCATTTCTAACGTATTTATTGTTGAATGTTTAAACTCTATTACAACTCTAGTATATGCATAGAATTTTTTATTTTTATTTTGTAAAAACGATCAGAAAACGTGTTTCTCTACGAAAAATAAAACCCTAGCGCAAACTGAAGACATAAAAAAAATACAAAATAATTTGGCACAATTATTTTATAAATATCATTATGCAACTTTTCCGCTCTATTACAATTTCAAATTCAAAAAAAGTTGTTTTTCGATACACCCTAATATATATGTATATATTAGGATGCAAACAACTTTTTTTGAAAATGTCTGCTCAAACCCCGAAAATGTGTTCTATATAATAAAATAACACTGGATTTAAAAAATTTAAATAAAAAATATTTTCAGGGTTGCCACAAGACCCTTTAACATTAAAAAGGTCCCTAATATTAAAATTTTTTTGTTAATTTGTCATATTGGGTCTCAAAAGAAGCAATATTAAATGAAAAATTCAAAAATAATCATCATTTCATAAAAAAATTATTATTATTTTTGTAGTGATATTTATTTTATAAATAAATGATTATTTTTAAAACTTATATATAATTTTACTTATTTTGAGACTCAACATGATAGGTTTCTGTTTGTTTAAGGGTCTTATGGCAACCCTAAAAATATTTTTTATTCAAAAACTTTTTACATCCAGTATTATTTTATTATATAGAACACATTTAAGAGGTGTCATCTGACTTTCAAAAAGAGGTGTTTTTAGCACCACCTGAATATATTACGCACTGATCGTGAAATCGCATTTTTCACGAACTGTGCAATTTTTTGTTCATTTCGTGAAATGGACAGCGCTGTTGCGCAGATTGTGAAATGTTAAACTTTTATTGTTGTTTTTTTTAATACATACCCTGCGTAATAAATATTATTTATAATAAATATACTTTTTAATTAATAGACTACCTACCCAACCCAAACCCTAAGTCTATGTAGCAGCACTCCGTTGCAAGTCAGGCTATTTGTCAGTCGATGTAGCAGCACTCCGTTTAAGTCGCAAGTTCTTATTTATGTCAATATTAATATTTATTAGACATAGTATAATTAAATATTAAAAAAAAACCTGTAAAAATTTAACATTTCACAATCTGCGCAATAGCGCTATCCATTTCACGAAATGAGCAAAAAAATTGCTCATTTCGTAAAATTCGCGATTTCACGATCTGTACGTAACATATATATACATATATATATATATATATATATATATATATATATATATATATATATATATATATATATATATATATATATATATATATATATATATATATATATATATATATATATATATATATATATATATATATATATATATATATATATATATATATATATATATATTTATATATATATATATATATATATATATATATATATATATATATATATATATATATATATATTTATATATATATATATATATATATATATATATATATATATATATATATATATATATATACATATATATATATATGTATATATATATATATACATATATATATATATATATATATAATATATATATATATATATATATATATATATATATATACATATATATACATATATATACATATATATATATATATATATATATATATATATATATATATATATATATATATATATATATATATATATATATATATATATATATATGTATGCATGTATTTTAGATATGGACATTCAAATAACAACGTTACAAGCACTTGAAGACGAATGTGCGCGACTTCGGAAACAGCTTGTTAAAAACGGACATATACAAGAAGAAGTTGAGATGCTTAAGAATGAACTAGAGAAATCATTAGAAACTCATTCAAATCTTCAGTCACTTGCTTTAGCATTTGAAAGTGAAAACCGAACAATGCATGAAAAGTACAGCGCTCAACTGATTGAGCAAGCTAAGATGGAATCTCTCATATATGATCTGCAACATGAAATCAGTTTAAAGGCAGATAGTTATAGCCATCTTGAAAAACGATTTAATAAAATGAAAGATATTGTAGAAAGTAACGATGCATTAAAAGAACAAATTTACAATCTGGAAAAAGAAAAAAAAAAACTTTTTGAACAAAATGAAAAAATTAAAGACGAATTAGAAAGTAAGGTTATTTATATCTTTAATTTTGTAAATGAAAATGAACATATTTTAGCCGTATCTCTCTTGTCACAAATTAGTTAGTGACATTTGTAACAATAAAGATCTCTCGGATCGCTAGCTAAATAAGCTAGCAACTAGCTATTGGTTACTCGTATAGATAAACATAGCAATTTGACCAAGGATCACTGAAAAGCTAGCAATTAGCTAAGAAAATACTTGTATAACATTTTATAACTGATTCATAATTATAATAATCATTATAAAATGTAATAACTTTATTGCTAACTAAAACCTATAGTGTAAGTACACCGGACAGCTCTTTACTTAGCGATATTGACTACTTATATATATTTATAGTTATACTTTAACAATTAACAAGGCTTCGATATATAGCTACAAAATATATTCTTTTAAATTGCTAATAAAAATTTATTTTTACAAAAAATAAAATTTAAATACAAATATATAAATACAAAACAGACAGAGGCTCAAAGATGATATGGAAAGAGGCTCAAAGAAGATATTGAAGGCCAAATACCAATCTAATCTTTTCATTAAGGTCCTACAGATCGCATCAATAATACTAAAATATGGTAAATAAATCAAATAAAAAAATTAGATAAAAATTATTTAACTTATTCACTAATAAATTCACAAACTGTAAAAAAGAAGATATTATATCTAAAAATACAAATACTAAAAAAATGTATATTATTTTAAAATGCAGATTGTCAGAAAAAAAAAAAAGAAAAAAATTATAAAATTATATATAAAAATTATTCCGTAAGATTTAAAACAAAACTTTTTATTTGAAACTGAAAAATGAGTCCCATAGCTTAGGTTCTATATAAGTTATACTATATTCTGTGAATCTTTTTACCTTTATAGTTAATTTACATTGTTACTATGATTTATTTTTAAGAAATACTCCTCATTTAAATTTTTATTAAATTTACTTATTAATATTTCAGAAGTTAGGTTATAGGTATATTTATGCAGTGTTGGTAAATGTTTATTTGGTTGTTTGATTGTTTTTGCTCATCATTTGGATCATTAAATGTTTAGTGTGGTCCCTCCGTTTTTTGTTGCATACAATTCTACAAACTTGTTTTTGTAAACAAAGAATTTTTTTAAGTTTTGTTGGTCGACAACTTGCCCACGTAATATTTACATAAGTAATGCTACAATGAATTAAGCAAAAGTGTATAAGCTTTAGACTTAGTGAATCGCCCATTTATAAGTATAAGTGACCTGGTAGCTATAGAAATGTCATTATGTAGTTGCAAACAAAAAAGTTACAGTATGCAGCTATCAATATTTTGTAACAAGGTAGAAAAGCTAAAAAGCATCGACTTTTTTTGTTTTTGTGTTGTAGATTTGTTGTTATGTTGTAGTAAACTATATACCTAAGACCTACAGCTGTCAGTACATCGTACTATTACCGTTAGCCACAAAGCTGTTGCTATCGATTTACATATTAGTCGTTATGTTGAAATTAGTTACGATGTTGCGATATATAGCAACATATACCATATACCACCGATATACCATAGTAATATCGAACACAACAAAGATGCGATATGTATGCTATACATATTGCAACTTTGTACATTATATAGCGACATTTCGCAATAAAATTGCAATGTTATGTTTTGCAATGTTAGTTCAATTGTTATCAAAACTATATTAGATCCAATATTAAACACCAAACTTTTTAAAGCGTAAACGACAAAATCAAACAATAATGTGAGAAGAAACAAATCGCTCAAATATCGCTATAAAACCATTTATCTATTCGCTGAATTATTTTTCACCTGTCGGTACATCCTCTTAAAAAAAGTAAAGCAGAATTTTCAAAACTGTTTTTTCATTTAATTTCTTCATTTAAGATAATGTTATTTAATTTAAAAGTAGTTTAGTTGATGATATTGGTGGTATTTCAATAGCAGTAATTGTTATAATAGGAACTTGACTTCATTAGTTATTATATATATATATATATATATATATATATATATATATATATATATATATATATATATATATATATATATATATATATATATATATAATTAAGACAAAAAAATTTACTTATGATACATTCAAAGAGTCTCGAACAGTGATAGATCTCAATTTATTTCAGCTATATCTCAATGTCATCCTGTAATGTTTCTTTAAAATCACTGTTTTTTGTTTTTCAAATGATTTACTTTTGTTCATAGTTAATTACTTCTATTGAAGCAAGATGTATTGAATAATTTGATGTCTTATGATTTGTGATTATTGTATCCTAATGCTAAAGCGTTGTGGTTAAATATTTTTCTCATTATTTGTTTATCTATGTTGCTCTTTGACCGTTAACAAGTTTGTATTAAGAAACTTGTTACAAAAGACTTCTTCTTGTAGCAGCTTATTGACCAAAAAGAAAAATCAGTAATTTAACAGTCAGGTACTCTTTTTAGCTTAGTCCATCGCAAGTCATTTAGAACCCACATTTTTATACATTTAAATTTTGACCTGGAAACTTTAAACTTATTTAAAGTACAAACTACTTCCAAATAGAATGATCTTTAAAACTAAAATTCACCCAACTGAAATGTGTAAAATATCCGACTAGCCGATTATATTTTTCAAAAAACCAACTATAACTTGAAAATCACTTTCTTTATAGAAGTGTTGCACCCCGTCTCCCACATTCTCCTTCCACCGTAATCTTGCCTCTTCCTACAACTTTTGATAGCCTCCATCTAGAATAAAAATATTTACACTTGAATGTTTACAAAGTAGAAATTAACGCCATTACAAAGAAAGTTGAACAAGACATGCTTTTGTTCCTGAGCCAAAAGCTCTTGATAACGAAATTTGTTCACAAAGAGAGATTGATTTAATTTCAAAGAGAGGTTGATGCAAAATAAGTACTTTTTAAAGTAAGCATTGAAGAATTGCTTAAAGGTAATTATATAAAATTATCATTTTTACACTAAAAAAACTGGCTGTAAAACTGTAAGTCTTGAAATTGAAAAAATTAATTAATAAACTGATTTTTTTAACTGACTTTGGTCATTTTGATAAATAATAAAAATGATTTTTAATTATAACTTACATAGTAATTTTTAAGCAATGGTAGAAATTATTATATATTTGTTAAACACTATAAAATACAAAGCAAAGTAAATTATATTAAAGTTATGGTTAGAAAAAACGTAATAAAATCATCTTGTAAACTTTTTCTTCGAGAATATTTTTGAAGATATGTTAGATATTCTTGAGAAAAACTATATGTTAGATAGATTTCTTCGAGTTACTGCACTCAATTGCGCAACTTAATATTTAAAGATTTTTTTCACATTTTTTCAATTTTTTTCATTTCTTTTCATTATGTTCTCCAGATTTCATGATTGTTGCACGTACAACAGATTAAGTTCAAGTTTGAATCACAGCTTGAAAGTATTCTATAATCTATGTTTAAAAGAGACGCATAATATAATTTTTAGTATCTTGTGTAAAATCTACACCTTTTCAAGATGTAAATGAGAACATGAAAGTTGTAATTAAGAAGTCGTAATATGTAATTAAGAAACACAACATGTAATTGAGAAAACGTTATATGTAATTGAGAAACACAACATGTAAATAAGAAGTCGTAACATGTAATTAAGAAACACAACATGTAATTGAGAAAACGTAAGATATAATTGAGAAATCATAATATGTAATTGAGAAATCGTAACTTGTAATTGAGAACACATAAATTAAAATAGCAAATTCACAGTCTAAGTTTGTAGGTTGTTACAAAAGGTCTTTTTGGACATGAATTTAAGTTATAATCTTAAATTTTGCTTTTGTATGCAGAAGTAATAATAATGGAAATGAAAGATCGTTGTGTTATATGCCAATACACTATGACCCGAAAGTCTGTGATTAAGCTAAATCCGTGTCAACATTTATTTCACCAAATTTATTTACGTCCAGTTCTGGAACAACCAGATTCAAGTTGTCCGATTTGTCGGCATGAAATACACACAACTGAACAAGTTGAAACGAAACGTTACGTTTTATCTTCTCCATATGACAGGAGAAGAGTTGTTGAATGTGCGGAGCGATTTGAAGATTGGGTGAATCTCGCGCAAACGCTAGGTATCAAATATAAGACAGCATACAATTGGGTTCGCAGCGGAAATTCAAGTTTCATCGGAAAAGGAGGTTTTAAACCAAAAAATTTGACCGAAGATCAAATCGAAGAAACATTTACATGGATTGAAAATGATTGTCAATTAACATTGGTGGCCATCAAAACAAAGATATTAAGACAATTTAACATAAACGTTAGCACAACAACAATAGCAAAGTACCTCGGAGGCAGATTGTTCTCATTAAAAAAAGTGCACAAGGAGCCTTCTACAACGAACAGTTATGAAAACAAACAAAAAAGAGCTGAATATGTTAGAAACATCAACGAACATATCACAAATGGTCGTCAGATAGTTTGGTTGGATGAAACAAATTTTAACCTTTTTTGTAGAAAAACGCAAGGACGCGCGAGACAAGGAAAAAGAGCAATTATGAAAGTACCTGTTAAACATACACTTGATCGCAGCTATTTCAACTACAAATGTCGTCATGATAGAAACTTGCAGGGGATCATTTAAAGCAGATTCCTGTAACGAGTGGATGTTGGCTATGTTTCACCAGTGGGTTACATCCGGGAATCGTTTGGAGGATTTGGTTGTCGTAACAGATAATGCTCCTTGTCACGCTTGTTTGCAAAGGGTGTTTGATAATTCACCAGCTCAGTTGTTACGTTTGGGACCTTACAGTCCAATGTTGAACCCGGTGGAAACGATCTGGTCCAAAATTAAAAGTAACGTTAAAAATGCAATTCGCATTCCACCTGTATTAGGTGACGGGATTGCGGAACAGCGCATGCAGTACTTAGAACGAATTGTAATTGAGGCGAAAAATACTATAATGGGAGGAGATTGTGCACGTGCGGTACAACACACAACCACGCACTATGCAACTATTTTAAATATGGAAGACGTACAAGTTGGTGCTTAAATGATCAATGAAGTGATTTTTAATTATATAATTTTTAATTATAATTTTTAATTGAATTATAAATTTATCCCTAAAATGTTTTTAGTGTTTATTATGTTAAATTCATTTGCCCAAAAATTATAAATTTTTCCCTAAAAAATTAAATTTACGCTACAAATCTTGCGTCATTTTTAAGTGCGTCATTTTATACGCTCCATTTTTTTACGCGCCATTTTTTTTAAGCGCCATTTTACACTTACTCCTTTAAAGCGATATCTAAATTAAAATTTTCGTGTTCTCAATTACATCTTTCTATTTCTTAATTACAACTTACATTTTCTCAATTACATGTTACGATTCTTAATTACAATTTTTGTTTTCTAAATTACATCTTATGTTTCTTAATTACAACTTACGTTTTCTCAATTACATCTTACGTTTCTTAATTACAACTTTTGTTTTCTCAATTACATCTTACAATATTAATTACAATTTTTGTTTTCTCAATTACATCTTGAAAAGGTGTAGATGACTAATATCGCGTCCATACTGACGATAAGACACGTTTTTATACACTTTTATACGTTTTTATTTATTATTTTATATGCGTTTGATGTTATATACTGTATAAAACAGCAATAAAACAACATGATTAAACAGCAATAAAACAACAAGGTTTGATAAAATTTCACAAATAAGACCAACTTTAAAAGTGAAATGAGATCGTTTTTTTATTTTTTTATTTTTTTTTTCGAAAAAAAATACGCGATAATTTTCTGATTTCCCAAAAATTTAGGACTTGAAAAATGCTTAAATCTCCCAATAGGAAACGCATAGAGTTTCGTTTTCAACATCAGTTTAAGGTGGTACAACACCAAAAAAACTAGAAAACTAAAAAAAAATTTGAGTTTTTCAATTTTGCATAAAATATGTGTCAAATTAATCAAAGAACGTTTAGCCAAAGTTTCAGAGCTAAATAATTCATCTTTCTTTAGATATGAGCATTTTATTAGAACACTGTGTATCTTTTTTTCCTTAGCAACGGAGATACTAAATATTTAACATGGTTGTTAGGGCAATTTCTCCCTAAAAATAAGCTCAATTTTACTGGAGCCTTCAAGCTTTGTAAGCTTGATGTCACTTCTATGTTTTCCGAATTGAAATTCAATTAAAAGTCATTGTTCTTAACCACTAAACACGTTTTGTAACAGCTAACAGATTTGAAAGATTATGTTATTGTTTGTTTACCCTTTGGATTTATATTATATATATATTATATAAATATATTTAAAAGAAATGCCAAATAAACAAAATAGTACTAGAATAAAGAGCAGAAAATGGAATGGGTTTAAACCATCTGATATTCTTAAATCAAAACCTGCAGATCATGAGATTTCTTGTGTTAGCTTAAGAAAGTTAGATGTATCGTTCAGCTCGGATAAATGTGACTCTGACGACTATTTTATACTTATTAACTTTTTATTGTTAAAGAAATTAATTGCACACACTGTTTTCCCCAATTGCTTTATTGGAAATTTGTTAATCAAAGATAACGTTAATTCTCGCATGGGCTTTTGTCATTTACTTGAGATGAAGTGTACAACGTGTAACTTTTCTAAAAATTTTAGAACTTCACCAAAGTCAAAGAATTCTTTAAACGCAAATGAGTTTCCTATTGATACTGTATTTCCTATTTATAAAAAAGAACTTTCATCTCTAGAATCACCATATGAGATCAACCTGCGAGCTGTCATCGGATTGCGAGAAATAGGTGCTGGCCATGAGTCGATGAAAACTTTTTCCTTCTGTATGAATCTTTATTGTTTGTCGCTTAATGGCTTTAATAAGTTAAATAAAACTGCCATGTTAGTATACAAAATTGCTGCTGAGGAAAGTATGCAAAAAGCTGCTTTTGAAACCAAATCAATAAACAACTCTCTTGAAATGAAAAAAGTTAGAATTTCTATTGATGGTTCATGGCAAAAGCGAAGTCATAATTCGTTGAATGGTGTTGTAACTGCTGTTTGTAGTGATAAATGTATTGATGCAGAGATATTTACCAAACATTGCAATGGATGTAAAATGTGGAGATCTAAAAAAGGAACTCCAGAGTATCAGTGTTGGTTGGTTGATCACCAGTGTGAATTGAATTACAAGGGTTCATCGGGTAGTATGGAATCTGTAGGAGCTGTGGCTATGTTTAAGAGATCTTTACAAAAAAATAAGTTGATATATAAAGAATATCTAGGAGATGGGGATACATCTTCTTTTAATGATGTAATAGAAGCAGATCCTTACAAAGAGTATGGTATTATGCCTGTAAAACTGGAATGTGTTGGACATGTTCAAAAACGGTTAGGAACACGTCTACGAAACCTTGTCAAAGCCCAAAAAGGTACTAAAAAACCAATATCAAGCAGAGGTAAACTCACTGAAAACTGCATTAATTCAATGCAAAATTTCTATGGTCTTGCAATCAGATCTAATGTGGGAAACTTGTATTCAATGAAAAAAGCAGTTTATGCCATACTTTTCCATTTCACCAATTTTCCTGATTCCTACACGCGCCACCAGTTTTGTCCTCGTGGAAAATATAGTTGGTGCAAATACTGGGCTCTAAATCAAAAGAATTATAAACCCAAATCTACCATACCTCTGTGGATAAAAGATTTAATTCTACCAATAATTATAAATTTACAATCAGATAAATTGTTATCAAAATGTTTACATGGAAACACACAAAATGCTAACGAGGCACTTAATGGACTTATTTGGGCTCGTGTACCAAAAAGAGTTTTTGTTTCTAAATCAACACTGGAAATGGGAACGTATTCAGCTATTTTAGCATACAATGATGGTGCAAAGGGTGTTATTAGTGTTTTTAGACATTTTGGTTTACATGGTAAGGTATCAAATATTTCAGCGACTTCTAAAAATAAAAAAAGGATTAGTCAAATGAGGTGCAAGTCATCAGAGAAGGGAAAAAGAAGAAAAACTCTTAGAGCCATTAAAAAAGGTCACCTAGATAAGGAGAAAGCAAAAGAATGTAATGACAGTTATGTTTCAGGAGGATTTTAAATTAATATTGTAAATATTATATCAAGAATTTTTCAATGCTGTTTATCTCAGTTCGCGTTTTTTTATTTTTGCTTAAACTTCAAAACACAGTTTCTTGAGTTAGCATTGTTCATTTGATCTGAAATTTTCAGTACTTGCTCGAAATACCTATAAAATTCATTTAACAGATGGATTTTTTTTTATGATCAGTAATTTTTTTTTTTTTTTAGTCAGATCTCTTTAAAACGTCAAAAAATAAATAAAATATGAGGAAAAACTACATAACTCATCATTTACTTTGATATTTAAAAAATCTATCTGTTAAATGGAATAAAATAGTGTTTAGAGTAAGTGTACAAAATTTCAGGTCATATAATGATGGCCAGCCTTAGATATTATGTTTTGAAATTTAGTCCAAAAACGCATTTTTTAATAGTTTTTCCGCCATTATGGTCGTAATGCTAATTAAAAAAAAATATTTTTTATTGCTTTTTTTTATTTAAATCATTTGAGTAAACTGTATTTAAAAGCATTTTTATTTTGGAGGTTTATTTCATTTTTTTATTTATTTGGTGTTGTACCACCTTAATAGGATTCATATATAAAGTTTTTCTTTTTAAAACTAAAATATTGTAAACATTGCACAAAAAAAACTTAATATGGCCACTGGATTCATGGTTACACTAACCACATACATGGTTTTAATTAGGTTAAGTTTAAATTTCTAAATGTCTATTTTTTTAAAAAAACATGTTATACTTGAGGAGCCTATTTGCAAAACGCGCTAAGTCCGAGTAAATTGATTTTGAGAAAATGATAAAAAACTAAACTATTCTTAGTTAGGCATCAACAAAAATTTAATTTTTTCTTTGCCTACTTTTTGGGCAAAAAAAATTGGTCTAATATTTAATAATAGATAATAAATCTTATTATAAAGAATGTGGAAATTTTTTTTTTAAGCGTTTCTTTGTAAAAGTTGTTACTTTCCATTATATTGATAAAACTTTTTCTTTACAACTTTTATTTGTTGTCTGATTTATTTTTAAGTGCTTTGAGCCGATCTTTTTTTATTTTGAAATTAATACACTTACATTAAAATAAGTTGAGATTTTTTTTCGTTTTTTTTTTTTGATTTATTAATTTTTGTTTTCTTCTACTTTAATGGTTATGATTTTTTCACTTTTTATTGTAACTTTTATATTTGTAAACTAAACAAATCAATAGCACTACAGTGCTATTGATTTGTTTATTTTACACTACACACATACATATATACATACATACATACATACATACATACATACATACATACATACATACATACATACATACAAAAATCTTGTTTATTCACAACTTAAAAGCAAAACAAAGAAAAAAGTAAATATTAGAAAAAAATGAATAATTAATATTTTATTTTCATTTTTTTAGCTTTAAAAAGGTGCGAAGAAAACCGCACAAAAAAGTCTAAACAATTAATAGAAAAACTAGGAAAGGAAAACACAGATCTCTCTTTGAAATTAGAAACTTATATTGAAGAAATGGAAGATCTTGATGCAAAAGTTGTACATCTAGAAAAAGAAAGCAAAGAATTAAGAAGATACTCTTCTATTGCTACGAAAATGGATTTAAAAGGATTAACTGAATTAGAAAAAGAAAAAGAAGAAATGAAAATAAAATTAAAAAAAGAAATAAAGCGACGAGAAAATATAGAAAATGACTTGTTCAAAATTGAAGAAGAATACGAGGAGTTTAAAATGTATGCCGAAAATAATGAAGCTGAACTGAAAAAAAAAATACAAACTCTTATCTCTGAGCAAAGGTTTTTTGTAGAAAGTCACGATGCGAGTGACAACCATGTGGCATCTGCATTATACAGCAAACAGACTGTAATAGAGACTTTGGAAGAAGAAATTATCAAACTAAAAAACCAGCTAAAAACGATGGAGGAGGTAACAAAATATTATATAGGTCAGCGACAACGCGAAACGCGTATGTACTCTGGTTTTCACCGTTCATTATTTAAATATTTGCTTTTTTGGCGATTTTAACTTTTGGCAATTTTAACGTTTGACTAAAGGCGAGTTTCTACTCATCCGTTTTTTCACGGGAACGGGAAAGGGACGGGAAAAATAATCACGTGGGCATGCGTAGTATAAGTTTTAATATGTCCAAAGAAAAACTACGCATGCTCACGTGATTATTTTTTTCCTTTCCTATCCCGTTCCCGTGAAAAAACGGACGAGTGGAAACTCACCTTAAAAATTAACTTTTGAATAATATAGCTTTTTATTAAACACTCAGAGGGGAGCAAGGGGGGCCGAGGTTCCCCCAAAAAATTATTAAACTATAATTATTAAGGAAAAACATATATTTTTTAGCGCTTTTCCCCTGCTATGTTTGGGCATCTCCCTATCTCTGGGCCCCTAAAATTGGTACCTGAAAAAAAAAAAAAAGGTCTTAAATATGTAATATGGGCTCCCCTAATATGAAAATTTTGGTTGCGGCTAAAAAATTTTTAAAAATAAAATAAAAGTTCCTTTAGAAAAAAAGTCGTTTTTTTCTAGAGCTTTTTTTCCCCCCTTCTCCTCGGCTTTGACGCCTTGATGAAAATGCAACACAATTATTTAAGCTCATATTTTATAAGTGCATAGTTGTACCTCGACTCTGAAAGAAAAGGTACTAAAAGTCACAAAATAAATGTCTTGAGAAAATTTACTTTGATCAGACTCTTTAAAATAAGCATTAGAAATGACCAATCAAAACAAGTTTTCTCAAAACTTTTTTTTATGACTTACTTACATTAACATTAAGCTCACAACTTGATATTTTAAGGAGCACGAAATTCTATTAGAAGAAAATTCTTCCCTTGCAAATGAAAACTCGGAGTTAGAAGAACAACTTACGTTGTACAAGAAGAAAGTTTCTGATTTAACAAATAATTTGAACAAAATGAGTGATACTTCAAATAAGGTTTTGGTTAGTAGCGATCATAATACAACCGACAGTGAAAACGGTAACCATAATAGTAATCAAGATTCTTCAGTAGAAAAAATAAAAAAATTCAAAGAAGAACTGGAACAAGTCCAAAAATATTTGGAATTTGCAAATCAAAAAAATACGCAACTCCAGGTTTTTTTGATTTTTATTTGTAAGTGATTTATGTCTTTTATGTCAATAAAGTGTTTTATCATATCTCAAAAAGATTTTATTTTAAAAATTGACTTATACTTTAAAAAAATATGACCGTACTAATTCTGCAGTTCGTCTTTTAAAATATTTAACCGAAATAAAAACTGTTTCATATCTGTTATATTTCGTAATAGAAATGTTATTCATCATTGTTTTTTTATATTTTATCAACAAGTTGATTAAATATAATTTTTTTTTATTTTAAATATATTAAATATTTTTATTCTAAGTAATAACAAAAGTTTCTATATAAAAATGTACGCATAAAGAAAATATTCCCCTATCTAAAATCATTTAAATGTAATAGTTTGGTAAAGTGACGTTGAAGAAATAATATAGGTTATAGCATTCAGACTACACTAAACTTTCTTTGAAGTAAGACCATGTCTGAACGGTAAAAGCTACTTCTAACTGTATCAACATTGTTGATGGTGTCTTCACGGCGGAAAACAATGCTTGTGAAATTTGTGAAATTTGTTTTAATGATACAAAATTAGAACTTTGATAAATACCTTCAGCAATAAGGATATACAGATGTTTTTCTTGTCGATTACATCTGATAAAGGATAGTGTTTATTATTGTCAGTTCTTTAAGATTATTAAGTTCTTTATACAATCACTCCATTGTTTACCTGCTACAGTTATAACTCTGACTTTTCTTTCCTCTGCGCTTTTTTTTTACTGTACCAAGATAATATATTTTTCCTCATGTTTGAATTATTTTGTTAAACTAAGACGCTGGGTAAATATCAATATCATCCTCGAGTTATCATACAGGTTGCATTAAAAAAGTGAGCTTTTGTATTAAACTAGATTTTCCATAACTTGATCTAGCGACATATATTTTTGTTTGAACTTTTATGAAATTTAAAATTCGAATTTCTATCAAAATGTTTCTATCATGATAGTGACTGTTAAGTGTGCACATAATTCCGCAATAAAAACATTGTTTATTACAATTAAAACCAAACTTTTCTGAGCAAACTAAACGTTTTGTTTTTCTAGAAGTTTCCGTTGATAGTCACAATTTTCTAATTGATTTCGATTTGTTTCATAATTCAGTTTGATGATTGAAAATAAAACTTTTCTGTTTTTTATGCAGTTTATGCAGAAACGAACAACTTGTTTATTGACAACGTTAGTTTCAAATGTATAATTATTTAATTTTTGAAATAATATGACAGGTAATTTACCTTTCTGATTAAATATATCTTATTTTATGATTAAAAATATCCAACGCCAAAACAAGCAATTACATTTTGAATACATAAAAAATATTACATTCAATTACATTAAAGTTATCTAGAATTGCATCGTTTTATTTCCCGGCACATCTTTACCTAGCACCGTGATTTAGTAGTAACAAAAAATATATATATTTAACAGTTTTGTATTGTTTAAATATAAGTATTAGTACTATTACAGTGCAATTTATTGTATAACATGTTTTAAATTTATTGGCAAAATTCAAAGTTTCGTGTTTTAAACTCTCATCTTTTTGACGTTAAATTTTTTCTCTCCCTAAAATAAAATATAATCCCGACAACTCATTTTAACAAAAAAAAAAAAGAATAAGCCTTCGAACCAGCTATATTATGTCTTTATTATAACTATTTTCGGTTTTACCCAGTTTGTCTAAAGTTATACAGGACTAGAGGTGTACCGGATATTTTTGCCGGATATGCCGGATATTAAACTTTTCTAATGTTCTATAAGTGTTTATGAAGAAAAAACAAGTCTTGGGATTCGACATTAAATAGTGTTTAAGATTTAAAAAAATAAAATTAAGAAAAAACTGGTATAACACAGATATATGCGTTAATAATGTATAAGGAAAAATTGTTTTTACAACCAAATTTTTGTTTCTTTTTAATTACTATTTTCTAGTATATACTTTGTCAGCACATATCCCATGTCATACAGTTTTTCTCTTGATTTTTTAAAATAAGATCTTGAATACTATATATTGTAGACTAGCAAGACTTTTTTTTTTCTTCATAAACACTTATAGAACTTTAGAAAAGTTCAATATCCTGCATATCCGGCAAAACTAACCGGTACACCTCTATACAGGACTAAATACAAAAACGACATTAAATACGACAGCGCTAATTCAATAGAACAACTATGAAAGAACATAATTTTTTTGTTGCTTACTTGGCTAATTAAAGTAGCTTCTAAGTTTTATTGACAGTTAAAAACAGCTACTATATTTTGATATTTTTTTACAAGGATTAATGACATTGTATAAATAATATAATTAATATATAAATACATAAATGAGTATAAGCAATCTTTTTTAGAAATATGGTTTCATATTAAAATAAAAACTTTTAATGGTATAATCATAAATAATAAATTTATAATCAGTTAATAATAAAAAATACTATACTAGACTATTACTAAATTTGGTTGGGTGAATGGTTGCACTTGAGGTTTTTTCAAAATATATATTTTTTCTTTCTTGTAATGCGTAATATATTTTGTTTATCTGAATTTATAAATATACAATAAAAAAGTGGTATTTTGCAAGTCAGTGAAGTTGTAGAAAGGGATATCTATAGTTTAAATAATGAAAAACAAATAATTTTTTAACTTCAGATATAATTCTTTGTACAAATGTAGCGCAACAATGGTTTTCTTTTTTAAAGCATCTTTTTAAAATAAGAAACACAAGACTTAACTGCAGCTATAACAATTTTGCAATTTTTTATGTTAACTTTTGCAGATTCATCTTTTGAGGTGATTCATGGGTATAGAACCTTTATTCCCAGCCGGCACAACTCAGAAAAAAAGTTACGCTTGGTTTCTGTTGCGTGTTTAAAACCTTCTAAAACAAAAAAAGTAACACGTGTCAAAAATAGTTTTCATTCCGTGAAATTAACTATTACTATTTATCATAAATACCAATTAAAATATTAATGGTTTCACCGTTACGAAAACGTAGTATTATATTATCGTAACTTTTCGTAAAGGATGTGAAACCACTGATAAAACCATGGGACACTTAGATTTGATTTTAAAACATCAAAAAATACGCGTTAAACTCGAGTAAAACTGCCTCTAATATACAAGTGTTTTTGGTTTACGCAAGGATCGTGACCAACACGTATCTATACAGGTCTTAATTGCGAAACAGAAGCTAGATGTGCCGGTTGGGTTTGTTCTGTGATGGTTGTATACGAATACTACACCAGACCACACCTGATTAGACCTGACTACACCGAAGTATAAAAAACTATTTTAGTAGAGGAAATTATTTGTATTTTTTAATTATGATACAATTATATAAAAAGGTTCATACGAAAAAAAAAATCATTATATTCATTTAATATTTTTTAATTTTCAAATAAACTTTCGCAATCGTCATTTTTCGTATATATTTACAAGTTTAATATATTCCGTTAGCCATTATTTTATTTCATTGATAACTAAATCAATAATTTAACGAGAGTTTAATATTAGGCTAAAGATAAAAAACTTTTTAGCATAACATAATGACAATTTAACCGCTCACTTTTACTCACCTTTATAATCTTGAATTTTTTCTTTTCATTTTTTAAACTTATAGATTTGTTTAAAAATTCTCGTTTTAATTGAATGCCTTCTATTCTTCATCTGAGACCGACGAGTTTTAGTTGTATGTTTTTATCTAATTGTTGCAATTTAAAATTAAAATTTATTTTTAATTTGAAAATAATAATAAAAAAACAGATTTGTAATTATAATATATAATTTTAATTATGTATTTTAATACAGTACCAATTTCGGTTTGTACCAATATTTTTCAACCATTCTAATCATTCACTAGAAGTAATTGATTTAACAAATCATTTTGATTTCTTATCTTTCATTTTTTAAATACTAGACTTGTTTAATATTTAAATAAAATTAATATAACACTTTTATTGTTTGTCTTCAAAGAAATTTTAGCCTTAATGGTTTATTTTTTTCCCTAAATGCAAAATATAGAGCGCGTTTCGTAAATTTGGCTGATACGTTATTATTTTTTTGAACGGTGTTGGAAATAGTCGATTATTGTTTTCAAAGATTATTATTTTTTTTAATTTAAATGTAGAATGAAGCTGAGCAAAAACAATTGCAACATGATAATGCCCTTGCCATATTGCAAAAAAGAAATGAAGACCAAGAACAATCTATTATTAAATTAAAAGAATTGAACCACGACTACGAAAAACAACTGCTAAATTTCCAAGGATGGGACATCGAAACCGTTAGGAGACTGAGCATAGATATAAGTGAATTGTTAGTTTTTTTTATGTTATTAAGGAAAACTATTAAGGATATGTTTTATTAGGAAACTTCAACATTTACTGAGTAATAATGAAATAAGAAAGTTTATGTAAGAAAGATCTCAAAATAAACTGTTATACACCTTAAACATTAGCCACCGTACTTATTGTATATGTTTTCATTTTATATGCAGAGGACAAACCAACGCTCTTATTACAAGAATGATGAATAACTTTGAAGTAGAAAGAGAAGACTACGAAAGCAAGATTAAACTATTAAACTCAAAAGTAAGTTGATTCTTAATAAAAAAAATTTTATTGCTAGCATAATAGTTAAACCAATGAATATAAATAATGATAAATATTGTTTAAATAAAACTGTTTATAAATATTGCTTGTGCATAAAAAACTTATATCCGTATTAACCAAATTAGATATACAACTTAGAACAACAACTCAATACGCTTAACTATATAAACGAAAATAGATCTGTGAACAGTAATTCAATACCATCACCTGAGACTACACCACCTGTAGCTATAAAAAATGGGGAACTTCGTGATTCAATGAATAATGCAAAAAAATTAAACAACTTTATTGATGAAAACCAAGGCAAGTTAACTGTTTTATTGTTTATAATTGTAATTCGCAATGAAATTTATATGCTTTATATATAAAACACGTTTTACTTACCTAGATTCAATAAGTGATCGCGAGCTCCGAAGGATATCTTATAAACTAGCTGACGGTAACTGGAGTAGATTGCCTCATGAACTAAACGCTAACTCACTTCAAGTTGCGCAAATAATGAATGCTCAAATTCATGAAAAAGAAAAAGTTTACAACTTGTTAGTTCTCTGGAGAAATGGGAACCAAGGTGATCGAACTGAACAGTTAGAAAAACTAGAAGAGCTGGTTGATTCTATTAAACGTAAAGACTTAGTTAGTTTTTTAAAAGAAGTAGGAGGTGTTAGTCGTAAGAAAGAAAATGGTTTTAGAAACACTTTTAAGAAAATGAAAAAATCGGTTAGACGATAATTCTAGTTGCCATTGAAATAATAATCCACAAAAAAAACTTGCACACTGTCTTGAATGATGTTTGCAAGCACGTAAAAACATTGCAAATAAACTTAAATCATAAATTACAAAAAAAGATTTGGAAAAATTTAGATAAATTTTGTCGTCACCGCTGTTCTCAGATGTGAAATCATCATTTTTTCAAGAGAAAAGAGAAAGAGGTTTTATAATGAGAATAAAATAAATCAAAAGAAAACCTTTTAATGGCTGCAAAGTTTTTTACTTAAAAAAATGATAAACTTCATTGTTTTAGACAAACGTCACCCTCAAACCTTGTGATAAAAAGTACACCTGGTTGAAACGAAGATACATAAAAAACACAATAATGCCTGGCTGAAATAATTTTTCAGCTTAATATAAAACTATTCACAAAAAAATTTAAAGTGAAATATCAAACTATTTATTCAAAATTACGTGTTTGAATTGTTTAAAAAGTTGTTTACGATATAAGCTAAACAAAGCAGTTGCTCAAGTCCTATTTTTATAAAAGTAAATCTGCACATGCTGTAATACAAACCAGCGTAATTGAGTTTCTGGTGAAAATGATGTGAATGCAAAGCATTACAAAACCTAAATGTTTTGTAAATTTGTTTTTTTTTGTTTTTGTTCTTTTTATTACATTTTAAATAAACATTTCATTGCAATATTTAAAATACAAATAAATAAAAATAATTATATATATATATATATATATATATATATATATATATATATATATATTATATATATATATATATATATATATATATATATATATATATATATATATATATATATATATATATATATATATATATATATATATATATATAATGATCGTTATTAAAAGATAAAAGAACGTGGGGACTCATAGAAGACCATAAGAAATGTTTGTGTTAAAATTTATAAGATATTTACAAGATAAAAAATAAGTTAAGTTAATCAAGAAGCTTAAAAAATTCTGTTATAAATAAAAGATGCGTTATATCTATTATATAAGTAGATTACAGTTATTAATGATATCTATCAATTTTTATAAATTCATGTTAAAATAGAGGGTAAAAAGGATCACTAAAAAATATCAGAGGTAAATTGTTAAATCTTCGATTGTAAAAATGAGTTCTTTAAGCTTTTGTTTAAACGAAAAGTAGTTACCTTGATGAATAAAATCCTCAGTAAAATTTTTAAAACTATTTTATTCCATACCCAGTAAACATTTGGACGTCCACTAGACGTACATTGGACGTCCGTTTCGGACATCTGTTTTGGACGTCCTTAGACGTCTAAACTAAGTCCAAATGCAACATGTTTCGTCCGCCCATTTTGGACCTTAATGGACGTCTGTTTCAGACTTAAATTGGATGAATATTTTAGGTCTACGGACGTTTACAAGGCGTCCATATTAAAGAAAAAGAAACGTTAACGCTCTTAAAACCCCTTACAATGGAAACTGGGACACTATTTTTAGCAATAAATAAGAGTAATTTGGTTGCGGTATAAGGGAAAAGCAATGCTTTTGACAAAAAAGAAGATACAAGTAAACAGAATTCAATTTATCGATAGATCATTTTTTACAAAAAAGGCATAAATTTTACAATAACTATTTTTCTTATAGAACGATACTCATGTTAAATAGTTGCTAAAAATTTTTGGGCGATTTCGAGATTGCACGTTTCATCAGATCGCCAACTAGTCCTTCAATATTGCGTCTAAAAGGAAAGTCATATTTACCTTAAATAATGTATGTGTATATATATATATATATATATATATATATATATATATATATATATATATATATATATATATATATATATATATATATATATATATATAAATATATACATATATACATATATACATAGGTAGGAGGCGTGACCACCCTGGAGAGAGAGAAAGAGAGAGAGAGAGAGTTAGTATAAACACATAACTATCTTTTTCTTTAACTATAAGTTTCTCCATTAGTGGAACCTGAGAAAGGATCTTTAAGGCTTCCTAAAAATCCAGGTATAAAACTTAGAGTAGAATAAAAAAATAGCAATTTATATATATATATATATATATATATATATATATATATATATATATATATATATATATATATATATATATATATATATATATATATATATATATATACATATTTATTTCGTGGTACAACCCTCTCTCGACACTTTAACTCCGTAACACGAGCCTTGACAAGCAAGGCCGCAGTGCGGAGAAAAAGTTGAGCGCGGTACTTCCAGGGACGTGGTAGGAGTTGAACTCCGAACCTCTCGCTTACAAAGCGAGCACTCTTCCCACTACACCAATACCGTATTGTATATGACTTAAAATAAAAAGCGAGCACTCTTCCCACTACACCAATACCGCATTGTATATGAGTTAAAATAAAAAAATACTTTCATTGTCAGTATGTATGAATTTATTACGCCATAAATTAAAAAAAGATTATATAATAACTAATAAAAATACTTTTTGCAGGATAACTTTAAAATGCACTTACGTTTATTTAACATTTTCTTAAATAAGGGACTAAACACCACCTACTTTTTAAGGCTTCTTACCCAGTTTAGAACTTGTTGCTTTATCAGTTTTGAGACGAAGTAGAATGTGTGGAGTTAAAATTAACCACTAGACTAACCACTTGCTGACTGTTTTAAATTATTTTTTTTCTAAACGACAAAATTATTATGTTACAGAGAATGTACATTAATATAATCTGGGAAACATTTACAAAAAATTTGACATAGTTACATTACAAATCTTCATCTTGTTAAAAAATGAAGCATCTGGTTACAAGTTTCTAATGTGTCAGAATCCAGCATATTCAACAAAGTCAATTTCTTCCAATCTTCTTTTTTTTTTTTTTTTTTTTTTTTTTTTTTTTTTTTTTTTTAAGTTTACAATTATTAATCGTAATATAACAATATAACAATATATAAACTTGGTATCTGAAAGGAGATCCAAATGATCTTGTCGCCAGAACCATATAAAAGATATAATACGTGTATATATAATAAAATAAAATACAATTGATCAAATAACTAATAACAATGTAGAAGAAACAAAACTGAAATAATTTTACAAATTATCCAGAGTAAAAAAAAAAGAATTTTACATTTCAAAAATATATATATATATTGCCAGTAGAAAGAATATAGTTTTTAATTTAGTTTTAAAAACGGAAAACGAAATTGACAAATCAAAATTTGGAACAACAATTTTGTTCCATAAATACGGTGCTCTATAGTTTATGCAAAATTGATTAAACTTTGTTTGACAAAAGGGTTCAATTAATAAATTATTATTTCGTAAAGCATATTTGTTTATAGCTTTATAAGTAAAAAGATCTTTGAAATTGGACAATGGTCGTTCACTTTTACAACGAAACATAAAACATAAAATATTATAGACATTGAGTTCGTAAACGTTAAGTGCTTTAACGTTTTTAAATAAAATATTTGAATGAGAAAAACGATTTTCGAAATATATTAAACGCATTGCGTGTTTTTGACGATGGTAAAGATTTCGTAACTTACTTTTAGAGGTACTTCCCCAAACAATATTTGCACAATTTATATAGCTATGAATAAACGAGTAGTAGAGTTGAATTAAATTTTGTTTAGTTAGATAGTATCTGACCTTATATAGAATTCCAATACTTTTAACCAATTTAGTAGAAATATAGTCGATATGATACTTCTATGTAATATTTTCATCAATGTAAATGCCTAAAAATCTTGTGACCGACTCCTTTTTTATTTTAATTTTATCAATAAAAAGTTTAGGCAATTTATTTGGTAAAAAACGCTTTTTAGCAAGAGAGTGGAAAAGGATCCACTTTGTTTTGTCAATGTTTAAAGTTAACTTGTTACACTTAAACCAGTTGGAGATCTGATTGAGTTCTTTATTTATATTTGAAAAAAGCTCATAAATGCTACTGTTTGACAGAAATAAATTAGTATCGTCCGCAAAATTTATACTCATAAGGTTAGAAGCTTTATTTAAATCATTTATATAAACTAAAAACAAAAGTGGGCCTAGAATAGAGCCCTGTGGAACACCACAATTTATGTCAATTAATTTTTCATTTTGAAAATAATCTCCATAGAAAACAAATTGTTTTCTATTTTCCAAGTAACTTTGATACCATTTTATTAATTTGCCATTAATTCCGTAAAATTTGAGTTTTTAATATACATTAGGTATTTTCATTGACCTATCAAAAGCATTCGTGTCGAATGCTTTTAATAGGTCAATGAAAATACCTAATGTATATTGTGATCTAAATGATTCGGAGATTTCACGAATGAACTGTGTAATCATTGTCTTATAACAACTCATACTGAAATATACACACCATATCTCGCACCATTTTAGGGGAAATATGAAACACAACTGTTTGACCAACTGGGTTGACCCAACAAAATGGTACTATTTTTTTTGTTAGTTGATTTTTTTAGATTTATTATAATATGTATATAAACAATATAATTTATATTGTTGTGTTTAATGACATTAGCTGCATACTCTAAACAAAAGCAGTAGATATTTATACAAACATCGAATTCTTAAGTCAATGATTACAAAACAGAATTTATAATTAAATAATAAATATTTAAACAACCACAAATTTAATAAACTTGCTATGAATAAAGATACTCATTTGACATTTCAATATTGTTCTGAGTTTAAAATTACTATAATTTATTTATAGTAATTTTAAACTGAGTTTATACATAGTATATTAACCCCTTACAATAGTAAGTTACTATTTGTAACCCGTTTAACTATTTATAACCTGTTACTAAGTAACGGGTTACTATACAAGTATTTTCGGAAAAAATAAGTAGTTAGGGAGAGGTTTAAAGAAATGGAAACATTTAGCCAAAAAAAAAAAAAGATTCCATTTACCGTTAAAGCGTCTTTTACAATAAGTAATAAAAAAACTAAGTTTCTTCTGTTACAATACTTAATGAAGAATCGTGACAACTTTCTTCTTTTTGCAACTTTGGTATAGCCCGTTTTAACAAATCACTAACAAATCTTTTAATATTGCTCCCTTCAAAACCACCTTTGTGGTTTTGAAAGGAGCGATATTAAAAGATTTTTATATGATAAATTATATTAAATTTGTAATAATGCATGTATGTATGTATATATATATATATATATATATATAATATATATATATATATATATATATTATATATATATATATATATATATATATATATATATATATATATATATATATATATATATTTATATATTTATATATATATAAATATATATACATATAATATATATATATATATATATATATATATATATATATATATATATATATATATATATATATATATATATATATATATATATATATATATATATATATATATATATATATATATATATATATGTATATATATATATATATATATATATATATATATAAAGGGTGTTAAAAAGCCCAATGCGGAATTTCCAGCAGGTTTCCTGGCTAACGCCCTGATATATATATATATATATATATATATATATATATATATATATATATATATATATATATATATATATATATATATATATATATATATATATATATATATATATATATATATTTATATATATATATATATATATATA